GGGTAAGACAGTCTCCAGAGACAGCAGATCTGAGTTCCAGACCAGCTCTGCCACCCTCTTGCTGGGCAACTCTGGTTAGTCTTTTCTCCTCTGCATCTCAGCATCCTTAGCTGTGAAATGGGGGAGCTGGAGGAGACACTCCTAAAACCCTTCCCAGCACGGACCTGCTGTGATTCTCCATGGCCACCCTCTCACCCAGGGTTTCTCAGTCTTGGCACCATGGACATTTTGGGCCAGACAGTTCTGGGTTGGGGGGCTGCACTGTGCATGGTAGGATGTTTGGCCTCATCCCTGGCCTATCCCTACTAGATGCCACTAGCACCCCTACTCCCGTGTGGCAATCGGAAATGTCTCCACACACTGCCCAGTGTCTGGTGGGCAAAGTAACCCCACTAGCCATTGCCCAAGAACTTTAATGAGGTCAAGATCATGAGTGGTTCAGTGGAAAGGTCTTCCTCTCCTCTCCTCTCCTCTCCTCTCCTCTCCCCTAACCCCTTCTCAGCTTTCTGCACACTCTTCCAATACCACCTCCCCATTCCTTGCTGCTTCGCATTTCTTAAATGCCCTAAGTGGTCCAGGGTGTGTTTGGTGTGATAATGAACCAATTGATTTCATACTTTCTCCTTACGGGAGTTCACAGGTTTATGTCCCCTAAGCAACCAGCCAGGTTCCCCAGAAATCCCTTGCAGAGCCCCGACTGGCCTGGAAGCCTATATCTGCAGCCTGCAGGAGGCTCGGTGAGCACGGATTTGTCAGCACTCTTAAATCACTGGGCTCCGAGGAAGGCTTCTCCCAGCACAAAGATCCTTCCCCAGGAATCAATAGCTCAGGGCCTTCCATCACATTCAGAATTATCCTGGGACCTGTAAAATCTCTTTTCCCCAGGCATGGTAGAACCCCCACATGAAAGCCCCATGGTGGGGGAGGGAAGAAGGCCTTGTCCATCAGCCCAGACATTGCTGTGAGCAGAGGCTGATGTGCAAACTGGACGTTCCCAAATAGGAAGCCCCTGTGTGGTTCCCGGTGACCCCCCAATAATATCCCCTACCTACTGGAATCCCTCTGTACGTCTTCCAAAGGCAGGGGAATATTCAACACTCCCTTCCTTAATCTTCATTCTCCTGCGCTCATCAGAGGGCTGCCAACTTCATCATTTAGCAGAGGAGGATACTGAGGCAGAGGCAGAGGTCAAGCTGTTACTCTAAGCAAGCAGAGGAGCCATATTCTCAGCTTGTGTCCTTCCACGCCACTGGACTGCCTTCCCCAGTGAGAGCGGGATAAGGGGCAGTCATCCCGTGGGGCTAGTGCAAGGGACGACGTCCCCTTTCCTCAGGGTCTCATGCCACTTCTCAGAGCCTACATCCCTTCCTCCATTCAAGCAAAAGTCCAGAGAGCCCGTGCTATGGCTCTATCTTATGTCACTTTATTCCTCTGGCCCTATCTGGAGCTAGACCAAGCCTGGAGAATGCAGATGCAACTCTTTAGCTAGAGCTGGGAGCTAACGAGGATCTCTAACACAATGTCCTGGAACCCCACTTTAAAGGAGGGGGTTGTTGCTCGCTGATGGTCCACATTATCCTACCACCTCCTTCCTCCTGAAGATGAAAACCCAATTTGTCTGCGAACCTGGAGGAGACGAGGAACCTTGAGCATCTTCCCTGGCAACAAGCATCCCTTGGGTGAGCCTTAGGGACAGAAGAGGCTCCACCTCTCGGAATTCTGCCTTGGCAGCACCGATTCCTCGTGCATCTGCCAAGGCTCCAAGGGAAGCCAGAGAAACTCCACGAAGCATGCAAAGGAGCAGAGTGGGGAGAGGGAACAGAGGGGGCAGCCCAAAGGCCACTCAGCAAAGCTCCCTCCGAGGGCCCAGCTCAGATGTCAAGAGCCAGACTCACAGAACAGAAAAAGGGCAATGGAAATGGTAGCACCTCCCAGGTCATCCAAGGAGCCCTAACACGAGGAGTTTGCAAAAATCAAACATGCTAGCATTCTGACCTTGAGCTGGGGTCAGCAAGGATGGGGGAATGGGCAAATACTTGTTGGAAATGTACCACTTTGTCCAGGATTTGAACACTAGAGATCCCATAAGGAGTGGTGGACACAGGAGCCCCTTCCAGCATGCCTTAGCAGAGGAAAGAAAGAACTGCAGGCTGGGGGGCCAAGACCACAGCAGGGCTAAATGCATGGACAAAGGCCTGCAGTCACACAGCTTTGGCCTAAGAGACCGCTTGGAATAACAAGACAAGGGATGGGGAAGGGGAAGGAATTATTAGGAATTTCTATTACCTGGATAAGAAATTTATCTGTACTCTGCCTCCTCACTCTGAATGTTAGACGCAAAGGAAATTTCCCCAGATTTACTAATTTACTAAATGTATTAATTTACCAATGTCTGATCAGTCAGCAATTTCTGAGTATTATTGCGCAGACGCCACACATTCATCTCCCATAGAAAATAGGAAGCAGGTCCTGGGAGCTGAACAAGCTCTGGGTAGAGAACTGGGGATCCTGAGGCCTGGTCCTACCTCCTCCACCAAATAGCCACAAGACCTTGGGCAAGAGACTTGCCTTTCTTGACTTCAGTTTTCTCATCTCATGCTCCTGTGAGTATTGAGGATGGGATGGCATTGGACTAGATGCTCAAAGATGTCTCTTCTAACTGGAATGTTATTGGTCTCTACAAGTTCCTAATGAGCTCAAAGAAGACCCCAGTGCCAAGCATAAAGGAATGATCTCAGAGAGTGGGTGGTGCTGAGAACCAGCTGTTTCTGTTGGAATGTTGTACTTGCATTTGCCATGGTGCACCTGAGATCACAGGACCATGTGAGGTCCAGGAAGCTTGTGGACGGGCTTCCATCACGAAGGTGATGGTTGGGGGCTATGGCCTGAGCTTGCTTAAGCCCTGAGTTATTCTGGTCAGGGAAGGGCAAGAAGTTAAGCAGTGGCCCTGAGCTGGGTGTCTTTGGCGCCCCCTACTGGACAGCAATGAGTCTGCTACACCTTTAAGATTCTAGCCTCTCAGCAGGCAGCATGGATGATTGAGAACAAGAGGCTGTCACAGCTGTTTAATAGGACTACCTGCCTGATCAGTGTGCCTCTCGCCATAAGAGTTCATGTTTCACTCCCTAGAATTACACAGGCCATTGACCCACACATTTACAGGGGCACTCCTGTGCAATGATAGGGACATCTTGACCAAACATTAAGATAGCAAGTAATAAATTTCAGGGTTCAGAACACCAGGTGCAGCCCAGATGGAGAGAAGGGAAGAAAGAGCAACAAGCAGGTATTTTACTGCAAAAATCCCCAGCGGAGGGATGGTGTTGGGAAATGCAGCAGAAAAATGTTAACTGCAGGCAAAGAGTAGAGCTGGGTTTGGGGGCAGCCCCAGAAGGATCTCCAGGCTGAAGCTGATGTTCTAGGAGTTCAAAATGCCGACCCATGTTCAGGGGTGGGGTAGAGGTGAAGGACACAGTCCTGACTGAGCAGCTGCAAAGCAGGCCACTACCACCCGCCTTAGACCTTCTTCAGAGTCCATAGGTACCAACTGCAAACCAGAATATTCCAAATTGTGCTCCAGTGTGCCAACACCAAGACCCTGAACTCCCTCTGTTGCCTTTTAAATTGACTTTAGGACTTGCTGCCAGGAGGATTTCTTAATCATCAGAGGGAATGAAAACACTTCCTCAAAGGCCCATATTGGAACAACCGCCATATTCCCACTTTTCCATCCTCCACCCCCCCCCCTTCCTCATGGCTGAGAGTAAGCCATGTGGCACAGTGTGACTCTTGAAATTTGCTCTAATTCAGTGTTGGGTCTCTCCAGCCCCATGCCAGTGGGGTCAAAAATCTCCAATCCATAGCTTTCCTCTTTCCACATGCATTTCCTCCTGATTCAAGGCAGCACTACAGAGCTGCCCCCTAATCTGGAACCCTCTTCCATTCGTTTCCACCTGGCTTCCCTTGAAGTACTGCACCCATCCCAGAAGACACCTCAAGTGTGACTCAAGACTATGTCCTGCCTGGAGAGCTGAAGCGCCTTCTGGGGAGCACAGGAGCCACACTAGGTGCACTGCCCCACCAGCAATAGTAATATTCATTAGTCATTCCTGGAGGAAGGAAGGGGGCTGTTCCCTCCCCAACCCCATAAACATTTCCTGGCCACTCTGGAAGGCTCCCATCCAGGCTGGGATGACTTTGGATTCTTGAGTTGGTTTCTGCAGAAACAGTACTAACCAGAGCTCCCAACTACTGTACTGTGAAGAAACCCGCTGCATTGCTGGGCATGCCCCCAACGCCGGCCTGCTGCCCCACCAAAGCCTCCATGTGCCCCCACGGGGCCGAGGAGGACCCCTGGTTCCCTTGGAATGCCTGAAGCTGGCTTGCCTGAGACAGACTGAAAGCCAGCAGACCACACCTCGGTCCAGCAAAGGCAGCTGGCAGCTATGCCGCGCGCAGGGCTGGCTCTCGGAGCTCCCTGCCACCCAGCGCTGTGCCCGGGAGCTCGCCTTCCCTGGGGAAGAAGCGCCAGCCCCACGGGGCTTCTACCCATCCTGAAAGCTTAGCACCCGGCCGAGGCCAGCAACTGCCGTGACCAGGAGCCGAGCCCGCCTGGTTAGGTGTCTCCCCAACAACCCCGGCACATCCTTCCTCACCTGCTCCGCCCCCCTCCCAGCCCCGCGCCCCCTTCCCAAACAGCTGACCTCCAGCGCGCCCCCAACACCTTCCTTGTCAGCTGTGCGGCTGTCGCCCCTACACCTCGGCTCCCACCTCTCCACCTCCAGCCGGCCCCTGCCTCGCCCCCAGCCCGCGGGGGAGGCTCTGCGCGCCAGGCGAGTCCAGCGCCTCTTGGCAAGTTGGAAGCAACGCCGCGGCCACGGCCGCCCTCCCCGGGTCCCCGGCGGCGGCCTCGCCACCCCTGCGGGCGGGTCCGGAGGGGCTCCCAGGGCGGGAGAAACTTTCTCCGCCTGAAGGGGTGGGGGCCCCGCGCAGGTACTCACGCCGGGGTCGGCGCTCGGAGTCATCGTCCCGCTCTCGGCCCCGCCGCCGGGGGGCGTGGGAGCGCGGGGCTCGTGCCGGCTCTGCGCCGCCGCCTTCCGCGCCCAGTCCGGTCCCGGGCTGGCCTCGAGCCTCCCGCCCCGACGCCGCTCGCCCGCTTTATACAACTCCACTCGAGCGCGCCCGGGCTTATGTAAAGGCTGGCGGAGACCCGCAGCCAATGGCGCGGCGGCTGGAGCCGGGGGCCCGGGGGTGGGGGGCGCCCGCGCGGCCAATCGCGGCCGGGGGAGCCCGGGGAGCCGGTGGGGGGAGGGGGCGCCTCCCCGCGCTGATTTAGGAGCCGGGATTGCGGTGGCAGCAGCCGGCGGCCCGGCCGGCCGGGCGCTGTGCGGCGCGCGCTGGGGTGGGCGGCGGTGCAGGCGCTGGCGAGGGCGGGCGCACCCCGCGCCCCGCCGCTGCGTCGCGTAACCTTCAGGAGGCGGCGGGGCCTGGCGAGGGGCGAGGGCGGCTGGCTGGGCGCGGGGGGGAGCCGGGGTCCCTCGGGAGGCAGCGCTGGGAAGGAAGCGAGGCCGGGCGGACAGCGAGCGCCGGGGCCCCGCGGCCACCCCTGCGCGCAGGGGCGAGGTGGCGGCGCGCGCCGCTGCGCTGCCTGCCCGAGCCGCCCAGATAGCATCTGGCGTCGCCGGGCTGGGCCGGAGCGGCCGCGCGAGCCGCGCTGATGGCGAGATTTCGCGCTGCGGAGCGAGCGCCGAGCCGATCTTTATCCGACCTGGGGACGTGTCCGAGCGCCTCCCGCGGGCTGCTCAGTATGGAGAGCGGAGCTTCGCGGCGGCCCCGGAGGGCGGGGAGCGGGCGAGCGCGGCTCGGGGATGGCCGGCCGAGGCGGCAGCCGGCAGCGCCTCCACCCCCCGCCCCGACCCGCCCGCCGGCGGGGCCCTACCCCACCCCGCCTAGCCCGGACCCGGGCAGTGCCGGGACTGAGTCCGGCCGCCGGCTCTGGTTCGGCGCCTTCTTCCAGCCGCCCTCACTGCCTTGCGCACAGGTACCGCTTCCCCCTCCTCCACCCCCAGCCCGCTGCGATGGGCGGGATGCGCGCAGCCTCTCCGGTCAGGGGCCGCGGGGGCCAAGCTCTGGAGAACGCGCTGGGTCAGCAGTGCCCAAAATACCCGTGTGCGGGGCAGAAAGCCCGTCGAGGTCGATAGCACTCCGAAGTCAAGTCCCTTATTTTGCCCCCAGAATAGATCCTGGCGCATAGTAGGCATTCCGTATTTACTGAATAAATTGTGGGCTTCCACGAATAAAGTCTGTGGGTTGCTGAAAGCTGGGGCACTGGGCTTTGGAAGAGAAGGACCTGGGAATATAGTGTCAGGGAAGAGGAAACTGGGACTGTTTTCCCATCAATTGATGCCTTTGTGACCATCGCCCTGGGTTCTGGGCACTTAACTCTTACAATGACTCAAAGTGTTTTTTTATGGAGGGCCCAGCCAGCCCCTGGCCCCAGGCCGGGTTATCCCCAGATTTTGACTAGATCTACCAGACTCTGCTTTGGGCCTGTTTTCAGGTCTCTGGGGTAACCCTTGGAAAGAAACAGCCAAGCATGGCTAGTCCTTTTGGTTTTCAGGGACCCCGAATCTAGCTCAGGCTGTTAACCCTCTCAGGGCTGTGGACCCTTTTGAGAATCTGGAAAAACTACTGAATCCTTATCTAGAAAGAACACACTCATTTACACGCACACATACATACACACCCCTTGGGAACCCAGAGTCTCTCTTGGGGTTCTGTCTAAGTCAACCTCTATCTCTAGAGGTTGACAACCTCCTTTGGGGGAATCACAGAACCCTTGGAAGGAGGCTTTCAAGAATCTGATTGACAGTGTGGCTCTGTTTCTTAGAAAAATGTTGAATCAAATACTCACACACATGTTGACATGCAATTCTAGGGAATTCGTAAATCCTTAAAACTTAATCTGTGACCCCAGATTAAGTTTGACCTAGAAGCAAGTATACTCTACACCAAGGACGCAAATCCCCAGCTCTCCCCACCAACAGGCCCTGCACCCTCCTACAGCAGGTGTCACCTTGTTCTGAAGGCATCTGAGTCATGTGGTGATGGCCCAGGCACCGGAGACCATCTCCACGCTCGTCTCTGTGTCTTGGTCCCCACCAAGACACAACTTATTTCCTCAGTGTGGAAATAAGTTGCAGGTTGTCATGTTCGGTTTGATCTATGAGCGTTCCTTAGCCAGAAACTTCAACTCAGGGAGACAGCAAGTGACTGGTAATTAACCAGTTTCACTCAGTCCCAAGCATCTGAGCACACCTTTCTTGGTTTTGTTCTCACCTCTCTCTGCGGGCGAAGGTGTGAGCAGCAGCCCCAGCTGTGGAGCCTCACCTCACCAAAACCTGACAGATTTAGTAACCGGTGCTGTAATTATCAGCATTAGCCATCCAGATGTGACTAGGCTTCCTGCACAATACAGCTCTATAACAATCTCACATTTCCCTGCGGCGAGCCAGGTAAGGGCACAACAGTCCAGAGGTGCTGGAGGACAGAGAAAGGCAGGAAATGATGGAGATATTCTCTCCAGAAAGTTCTCCAGGGAATGCAGCCTGGATTCTAGTAAGGTTTGAGCCCTGGGCCAGGCAGTCTTGGTCCTACAATTTCTGATTATGCTAATGTGCTCCATGCCCATTGGTTCCCTTCCTGTCAGTGTCCACCTAGAGTTCTAGCCCTGCCCTGCCCAGCTCAGGGTAGGCATCTTGTCCTCAAAAACTTCTCTGCTTTGGGGGGGTGGGGGTGGGGGGGCGGCACATTATGGGCTGAATTGTGTCCCTTCCCCAATTCATATATATAAGCCCTAATTTCCAATATGACTCCATATTTGGATATAAGGCCTTTAAGGAGATGGTTACAGTTGAATGAGGATGGAATCCTAATCCATAGGGTTGGTGGCCTTGTAAGAAAAGAGTCTTGGTGATGCCTATCTCTGCACATGTGCACAAGAAAGGTGTGCGGGCACACTGACAGGTGGTGCCACCTGCAAGCAAGGAGAGAGGCCTCCTAAGAAATCAAACCGTGCGGCACTTTGATCTGGGACTTCCAACTCACAATCTCTGGCTGTGAGAAGATCAATTTCTGTAACACCACCAGGCCAGTCTGTGGCTTTTGATCTCGGCAGCTTGAGCAGACTAGATACACACCTTTCAACATACTCCTCACCCACCCAATTTATTTAATTTCCTCCCAACGCTTCGACTCCAGTCTTGACCACCCTGGAGAAGTCTCTGTCCATATTGTTCCCCCACAAACCTTGCTCATTCTTACCTGAGACACTGGCTGAGAATGTTTTCTCATCTTTTGACACCCTCACTGTCTTCCCCCCCACACCTGCTTGGCCTTTCCTGCTCTTTGCACCATCTTGGTACTCAGCTGCAAGTGCTGTCCAGTTGTCACTTTGTTTCTTTTTTTTTTTAAAGATTTATTTATTTATTTATTTATACAAGCACCGGGTACAGTCAGAAGCGCAGGAGGGTGAGAGGATTCAGAGCCAGAGTGGGGAACAGAACAGGCAGACTGACGAAATGCACTGCTGAGGGGAGCAGTGGGCGCAACAGGAGAGGTCTGCGCGCCATGTGGGACCCTCACCCGGTGGCCGGGAATCGAACCAGCGCTGCAGAGGCTGTGGGCAGCTTCGCAGCCCAGCGCTCAATCACTGCGCCACCAGGGGAGGCCCATGTTTCTTATGCATAAAACTTGGCCTTCTTCTCAGAGTGGCAGGCCCTTTCCATCCAGGGCTTATAACTTTTCTTGGCTCCCTCAGACAACTCAGCATGAAATTGGGCACAGAGCGAGCTCAGTGTTTGTTGATTGATTCATTGCAATTAAACATATTTTACTTTAAAAAACACTAAAAAGTTTAGCTAGCACCTCATTTTGTAAAAACTCAAAACACTATGTATGTTATTTCCGCCATCTTGAAAGCCTGTTGAAGCAAGGCCTCTTAGGAACTAGCTCTGTCCTTTGGTTGAGGTTCCCAGGAATTTTGCAAGTTGCTAAGAGTCACACCAAGTCAAACCTTCTCTCACCAAATCAGAAGATTTGCTATCTTTGTGTTCCTTATGACATGCACTGATCCCCTTGGCTGCCTTCCCGCTCTCCAGATGGAGAGAAAAGGCCAGGCAACCTTAGAAGATCTTAGAGATGCTTTTGTTCCAACAAATCTGTTGCAAAGGCACAGAGAGGTCGGTACAGTTCCTCAAGCCCTATCAGGAACCCTGGAGTCAGAAGCACATCAGAGCTCAAAAGGAACCATATACTTTGCAATACCCCTGTGAGGTCTTGGGGAGTATCTGGTAATTGATCACATTAATTCTGCAGTGAAATTAAGGGTCACATGAAATGAAGGTGAAGGTGGCTTCACATCACTTTAGGTCACACTTTGGCACCTTGGGGGCCAAACTTGCAAACAACAACCCCCAAAACACCATCTCTTGATTTTCAGAGATTTGAGCCTTGCAGATAAGGGATTGTAGAGTGGTATTTTAGGTTTGGTTGTCTCAAAAAGAAACGAATCTTTTGTGAGGGTATGGAAAGAGCAGCCACAGTAGAAAATGAGAAACCATGAACTGTGGAAGAAGTGAAGAGTTTAAGGAAGTCTGAGGAAATAACCCCTTCTCATCCAAATTGTATTGTTTTGGAGCCCCTTTTTTCTTAAAGAGAACGTATTTGTCAGATTGGTGAGTTTCAGATGCACTTGTGTTCATGGTGGCTTGTAAGTGACAGATGCACAGAATGGACTTCTGAGGGTAGGAGTGAAAAGACAGATGATCTTTTGAAGAATCCATGAATTCTAGAAAGTGGGTCCATCCAGAGGTAGGGCTATGGCAGATGCAGGAAGGACTTTTCCAGATGGCTAGAGAGAGTTAGTTCAGAAGAGCTTGAATTGAGACACATGCTGCAGGCACGCTTCTCCAGGTACTGAGAAGCAGGCCAGGGAAGGAGACTAGATAAAGGAGAACATTATGAGATCCTAGAAAAGTCTGGTCAGAAAGATCAGAGTTTCTTAGGGCTGGAGGGACCCTGGGGGTGATGAGGCGGGTAGATGGCTGATCGTCATGTTAATCTGTACCCAGATGGCATGGGTGCTTTAAGGTGCTCTACACCACAGTGTGGTGACTTTGCAATCTGAGGGGCTGGCTGTATGATGCATGGTGGAGGACAGTTAGAGGCAAGACCACGGTGGACATTGGGCTGCACGGCTTTTTACGCCTGCTTGAGATGCTCAGCCAGCAATACCCTCCTCAGTCAGGGGGCTCCCTGGAGCCCAAGGTCAACAGCAGGGAAGCATCATCTTGAATTTTAAGA